AAATTTCATTGAAATTGGTTCAGGGGTTTTGGAGAAGAAGATTTTTGAAATTTTAGTCAATTTGACCCTTTTTGGCCCCGCCCCTAAGGCCCCTGGGGGCTTAGGACTAAACCGTTAACTGTTTTTGTTGACCTTTGTCCATGGAAGGTCCCTGCAAAATTTCATTGAAATTGGTTCAGGGGTTTTGGAGAAGAAGTCGAAAATGTAAATTGTTTACGGACGCACGATAACGGACAAAAGGCGATCGCAATAGGTCACTTGAGACTGTGTCTCAGGTGACCTAAAAAAGTGACGCAGGGATAAATAACATTGGACGGAGTTGTTGACATTCTAACCAACCATTGCAGAATCAACAGTTTTTACCGTTTTTATAAACACCCCAAGTTGTACTGGGGTATACCTAAGGACCTACAGGGTAATCGGAGGTTAGTTTAAGATCTAAACACATTCTATATAGTTATATTTACATTTCTGCTGCAAAGCCCTTTATAAACACTTCCAGAAGAAATAACATTCATAGGGATATGTGATGTTATGCCGTTCCAGGAATATGGTTTGCCCTGACGATACACACACTTCATCACCACAAAATTTTTGAGAGTACTTCAAACTTATGTCACTCTAATAATTCAAAAATTTAGACGAAGCTTAATATACACATTCAGATGTTAATTTTCATGCCAGTATGAAAGTTGTTGATTACATATTGACTATGAAGCCCTAACAATATGTATATGGAAACAACAAATGTAAGAAGTTTGATTAAAGCCTCTAACAAACGTATCTTATCATTTCAAAGTTTTTTGTTGTGTGGTCCACTTTTTACGATTCAATCACTATCAAAAACTTGTACATTTATACTAATACCTAGGAATACTGAGGGCCTGTATCGCTCACCTGAATGTGTTTAAAATAATTGGTATGAAGTAAAGATATAGCACTCAATGGTATGTGCTGTAAATACATATGAAATTTCAGAAAGATCCATCCAGTACTTGAGATATAGCGAGGGGGCCCACACTCACTGTTTATACATCTTTGAGTCCCTTTTGCCCAAGATCCTCCATACCAAATTGAGAAGAAATCCCTTCATACCTATGGTAGAAGAAGGATTTTAAAGATTTACCTCTATTTCCCCTTTTGGGCCCCATCCTTCTGCCCCCTTGGAGACCACACCCACTGCCTATACAAAATTGAGTCCCCTTGGCCATAGGATACTCCAGACCAAATTAGGATAAAATCCATTAATCCCGATGGCCAAAGAAGGATTTTTAGGTCACCTGAGCTTAAGCTCAAGTGACCTATTGCTATCCGTTTTCGTCCGTCGTCGTCCGTCGTCCGTTAACATTTTACATTTCAAACTTAAAGTCAAGTTCTGCTGGGCCGATTGAACTGAAAGTTGGTAGGAATGATCGCCTCATGGTCCTGACAAAGTGTTGTTATTTTTCGGGTCGATCAGAAATCCAATATGGCCGCCACGGCCGCCATTTTGAAAACCTATTTCAAACTTAAAGTCAAGTTCTGCTGGACCGATTGAACTGAAAGTTGGTAGGAATGATCGCCTCATGGTCCTGACAAAGTGTTGTTATTTTTCGGGTCGATCAGAAATCCAATATGGCCGCCACGGCCGCCATTTTGAAAACCTATTTCAAACTTAAAGTCAAGTTCTGCTGGACCGATTGAACTGAAAGTTGGTAGGAATGATCGCCTCATGGTCCTGACAAAGTGTTGTTATTTTTCGGGTCAATCAGAAATACAATTTGGCTGCCATGGCCGCTATTTTGCTACTAAGTTCTAATAGGCCGATCTCACTTAAAATTGGTCTAGGAATGATCAGCTCATGGTCCTGACAAAGTTAAGTTAACATTATACTATTTTTTACTCAAATTGGTACATATTTCAACAACAAAAATAAATACTGTAGACTCAGGTGACCGTTAAGGCCCATGGGCCTCTTGTAAAAGTTTTACCTCTATTTCCTCTATTGGGGCTGCCCGCCCCTCAGGTCCCAGGGGGGCCACACCCACCATTTATACAAAATTTGTTCCCCTTTACCCAAGGATGCTTCAGACTAAATATGGACCAAATCCTTTCATTTTGACAGAATAAGACGGATTTTAAAGAATAATTTGCTATATTTACCCTATTGGGCCCTGCCCCTCAGCCCCTGGGGGCCACACCGACCGTTTATACAAAATTGGTTCCCCTTTACCCAAGGATGACCCACACCAAATATGGACCAAATCTTTTTATTCCTACAGAATAAGAAGGATTTTAAAGTATAATTTGCTGTTTCCCCTATTGGGCCTCGCACCTCAGGCTCCTGGGAGGCCAGACCCACGGTTTATACAAATTTGTTCCTCTTCCCCCAAGGATGCTTCTGACCAAATATGGAACAAATCCTTTCATTCCTACAGAATGAGAGGGATTTTAAAGAATTTGCTATGTTTCTCCTATTGGGCCCCGCCCCTCAGTCCCCTGGGGGGCCAGACCCACAGTTTATACAAAATTGGTTCCCCTTCACCCAAGGATGATTCAGACTTAATATGGAACACATCCTTTCATTCCTACATAAAAAGAAGAATTTTAAAGAATTTGCTATATTCCCCCTATTAGGCCCTGCCCCTCAGCCCCCAGGGGGGCCAGACCCACCATTTATCCAAAATGTGTTCCCTTCCCCCAAGGATGCTTCTGACCAAATATGGAACAAATCCTTTCATTTCTAAAGAAGAAGAAGGATTTTAAAGAATTTGCTATATTTCCCCTATTGGGCCCCGCCCCTCAGCCCCCAGGGGGGCCAGACTCACCATTTATACAAAATTTGCTTCTGACCAAATTTGGTAAAAATCTACTGAGCCGTTCAGGACAAGTAGCGTTTTAAAGGAAAAGTTGATGGACGGACAGACTGACAGTTGACGGACGCTGCGCCATGGGATAAACTCATGACTTGCCCTTTGGGCAGGTGAGCTAATAAAAATTGTGTCTCTTAAAAATTTCAAAACAATGGAAAATTATGATATTAAAATTAGAAACAAATACATGTAATTTATTGTATTTTTTCATTCCTTCACCTTGGTTTTGATTTAAGAGATAAAACACATATATTCATCATCATATTTTACTTGATAGGCCGGAACTTTTATACCCTCCCTTGCACAACCCATAATACCACAAAATTTAGGAATCACAATTGCAACCTTTAAAGAAGTAGGATTTCCACAGAAAGGAGGACTTCTGATGCTGTTTAGTTTGTTAAGTAAAATGTACTAGACAGCATTTTAAAAGTTTTGTCTTGATATTCTATTATAATTAATTGTACATCACCACTTGTAAAGCATATTTAAACAAGAGGCCCAAAGGGCCTGTGTCACTCATCTGGTTATGTTTAAAATACCTGATATAAAGTAAAGATATAGCATTCCATGGTAAGTACTGAATGTGTTCATATGAAATTTCAGAAAACACCCACAGTTTATACAAAATTTATATCCCTTGGCCTAAGGATGCTCAAGACCAAATTGGCAATAAATCCCTAAATCTCTATGGTAGAAGAAGGATTTTAAAGGTTTTACATCTATTTCCCCTATTGGGCCTGTTCTTCTGCCCCCAGGGGAGCCACACCCACAGTTTATACAAAATTGAGTCCCCTTTGCTCAAGGATGATCCAGACCCAATTTAGTTAAGATAAACTTTCAGGACAAGTAGTGTTTTAAAAAAGAAAGTATGCAGACAACGGACGAACGTCACGATGCACCATGGCATAAGCTCACTTGCCCTTTGGGCAGTTGAGCTAAAAATAGAAACAGAACGCTAAGGTAGACTAAGCCTGTGCATATGTACAATGATTCAAAGTCAATGGGATGAACTATCATGTGCAAGTTGTATGTCAAACCTACCAACGTTGAATATATAATCCTCCAGTATAGCTGTAGTCTGACATATTGTATGTCAAACCTACCAATGGTGTATATATAATCCTCCAGTATAGCTGTAGTCTGACATATTGTATGTCAAACCTACCAATGGTGTATATATAATCCTTCAGTATAGCTGTAGTCTGACTGAATGCCAGAGTCTATTTCTACAGCTACTTGGCCTGCACTATGGAACATTTTGCTTCTGACAAAAATATGTACAAATATATAAGTGCAAGTGTACTGTATAAGGGTAATTCCAGAAATAAACAAACGTGGGCAGGTGGACACTTTTGTGTCCCCAATCGCTGACAACTGTTCTCTTGAAGATTATACAAATATCATGTTAGACCCCATCACCTCTATATCATCAGTTGTATCCATGTATAATCATATCTGTAATAGTCCCGAATAGAAACAGCTCTTGTGTACAAAAGTAACCATATAAGTACCCCTGTATACGCATACATAAAAATACCATTCAAATTGTAACATCCGATTGTAAAAAACATTGAGGTTTTTTTCTCAGTAATAATAATTTCTATAACCAAAACATATATTTTTAATACTTATAAACCTAAAAGTCACAGTATTGCTGTCAACAGAAAGCATTTCAAGTTGCACCATGTTTATTGAAAACTTACATATTGTCTCCCTTCCATCTGGAGAAAAATCGCTGTGTCTTCAACTTTTGATTCCCATATAGAATAATTGTTTACCACCTTTCTGAACAAAACATACTATTATATTTTACACTGTAAAAGATCCCTTAAATAGACTGTAAGATGCAGTATTTAACAACAATAAAATTCATCCTAAAGTGATAATAGATGATTCCAAACACTCTGATGGGCTATAGCTACATCTGTATCACATATTTCTAAATCAAATGCCTCCATCAAGAATAATTAAAATTCTTTAAACTTGCAAAGATGCTTTTGGCAAACAACATATATCTATTTCTGTTCAAACTAGCACCTATTTTGCTTCTAAGATAAGAATATCAAATTTGGGTAGTGTTTTATATCTAACTCCTACTCTTCTTCATTTGTATTGTGATCCAGCGACACAGGTTGATTGGCACATCCTTGGAGAAAAGTAGTACGTAGGTGTTTGAAGCCACAGCCTGCACCTTGACTGAAGCCTTGTTATTGGCGATACAGAGCGGCAGGAAGGAGGTCACCTCAGCGTCTCTACTGTCCTGGAACATCACCTCCTTGCCAGACGCCTGTAACCACATTGTAGCCACGTGTTAGAACAACACGTACATTAAGTAAGTGTTACATTACTCACAAAAAACACGGATATAAAAGTTTATGCTGGTGTCACTTGTGTCATTGACAAATTGTTTGGTTATCACATGGCAATGACACAATATTTCCTCACCTGGAGGGAAGTGGTTGTGAGTTAATGATGTAGTGCATTTCCTGCCCATCATCAATTTTTTTCTTTCTAAGAACAAAAATTCCTGGAGTCATGATACTGGCTATCAACTTTGTTCAAATAAATTACCAGTTCCTTAAATAATATTCAAGATCACAGGGGTCAAATCTTCAAATAAGTTACTTTTAATGAACTATGAGGCCTAAAGTAATGATATTTGGCCAGGAGTTGATGGAGGTAAGGACTGGTTCTAATATATAACCTTAGCCCAAAGTCAAGGTCACAGTGATTCAAATATTTTACAATCTTCAAATAACTGCTTCTTGAATAACCAAGAAATCTATATCAATGATATTTAGCATGTGGCTTGCTAAGATGCTAAGACCTTGACCAACACTAAAATCATGATGGTCAAATAAAATGTGCAAAAACTTTTTTCTAAAGCACCACAAGGTTTGGCCTGTAGATTGTTTGGATCAAGGACTATCAAAGGACTGTACCGTTTGCAGTTTCATTTTTGACCCAAAATATATCAAAATTCAAATTTGTTTATTTAAATGACCTTGACCCATATTCAAGGTAACATGGGAAATTATGTTAAGATTTAATATGAACACTCTTCTTAAGAACCAGTAAGCATAGGGTTATAATTTGTTGCCTGCAGCTTGCAGGCCTAAAAGGACCTACATTCAAGGTGTGTTACCATATGTGTAAACATGTAATACATGCAACAGGTAAGAGGTAGATCCCCTGACACTGAACTGTTTGGGTTTGTATTACAATGAATATTTTTTCCATTTGGTTTTCCTAACCATGTTGCAGGGGTATACCTTTCCACATGCCTGATGTCCGGGTCTAGTATATTTTATATCTAGTCCAGTGAATATTTTCAATATTTGCTACAGAAATACAGGTTGGGCTAACAGAATTTCCTAAATTAACCTGCAGGCTAGAATTCTAAATATGAAGTTGTACAGCTCTGATGTTGACAAGTTGTTCTGAGTTGACTTACCACATCGAGACAGGTTTTCGTGACAGGGGTTCCAGAGGTATTGATAATAAAAGCTGTAGATCCAGGGTTATTCTGGTTGATCACTTCCATCTTTTCACACAAAGCAGACATTGCTTCTTCCTGTTGAAGAAAATATCATTACATTTAAAAATTCTAGACAGAGATTTGAAATAAAAGCCAATCACTGGGCAACAGGTAAATTAGACCTGTTATCCAGAAGCTACTACATGTATCCACAATAGGATGGCTAGGATGTTAGCATGGTTTCATTGGAATCTGTCTTATAGATATAAGGAGTCAGTATAGTAGATACCACTACATTAAATTAAGGGCCCTTGCTATCTTATTATAACACTGGTTATACAACATGGCGGTTATTCATTTTCACAGTTTCATTAAAACTGGTTCAGTATTTTAGCAATAGTATAGGAAAAATCTCATTCCAGTATACATCCTGTTCTCCCGTAACTTTGCTGCAGAGAGATGATTGTAAAATGAGAATTTTTGAAGTTTGTAAAAGTTATTTTTCCCTTAATATGGCTATTTAATACCATTTTGTTACAGGGTATCTTATTCATATAGATTCTATGTCCAAATACATGTTATTGTATAGCATCATAATCAGTGATTCGTTACCAGCATCACACTGCAAAACAACTTACTGGTTTTTGGTCAGTCGTACAAAATTGCTCCATATCAACAGTTTGAACGCCAATTACTGCACCCATCAGCACTGCATCAATGTCAAGGTCATTGTTACCTTAAAACAAACAGATTGTTACAGAAAACCTTTCAAAGCAATCGGTTTAAGATCAAATTAAGTCATTAGCCTCACTGAGACGATGACTGGTACTACAAACTGATCACAGTGTGGACAGGGGTGGGTTTGAAATTGTTCTGTGGTCAGTTAAATGGGTCACAATGTGAATTTTTCCTCTTGCCTGTTCTCCTACATTTCCATTCTATACACAAGTAAGCTAGAGGTCTCTTTCTATGTAGAATCTAAGATATTCAACACAACTGGTATAAGGAATTAAGCTCTAGGAACAAATAACTCTATCTACATTGTAACAGTGGCTCTAGGAACAAATAACTCTATCTACATTGTAACAGTGGCTCTAGGAACATATAACTCTATCTACATTGTAACGGTGGCTCTAGGAACATATAACTCTATCTACATTGTAACAGTGGCTCTAGGAACATATAACTCTATCTACATTGTAACAGTGGCTCTAGGAACATATAACTCTATCTACATTGTAACAGTGGCTCTAGGAACATATAACTCTATCTACATTGTAACAGTGGCTCTAGGAACATATAACTCTATCTACATTGTAACAGTGGCTCTAGGAACATATAACTCTATCTACATTGTAACAGTGGCTCTAGGAACATATAACTCTATCTACATTGTAACAGTGGCTCTAGGAACATATAACTCTATCTACATTGTAACAGTGGCTCTAGGAACATATAACTCTATCTACATTGTAACAGTGGCTCTAGGAACATATAACTCTATCTACATTGTAACAGTGGCTCTAGGAACATATAACTCTATCTACATTGTAACAGTGGCTCTAGGAACATATAACTCTATCTACATTGTAACAGTGGCTCTAGGAACATATAACTCTATCTACATTGTAACAGTGGCTCTAGGAACATATAACTCTATCTACATTGTAACAGTGGCTCTAGGAACATATAACTCTATCTACATTGTAACAGTGGCTCTAGGAACATATAACTCTATCTACATTGTAACAGTGGCTCTAGGAACATATAACTCTATCTACATTGTAACAGTGGCTCTAGGAACATATAACTCTATCTACATTGTAACAGTGGCTCTAGGAACATATAACTCTATCTACATTGTAACAGTGGCTCTAGGAACATATAACTCTATCTACATTGTAACAGTGGCTCTAGGAACATATAACTCTATCTACATTGTAACAGTGGCTCTAGGAACATATAACTCTATCTACATTGTAACAGTGGCTCTAGGAACATATAACTCTATCTACATTGTAACAGTGGCTCTAGGAACATATAACTCTATCTACATTGTAACAGTGGCTCTAGGAACATATAACTCTATCTACATTGTAACAGTGGCTCTAGGAACATATAACTCTATCTACATTGTAACAGTGGCTCTAGGAACATATAACTCTATCTACATTGTAACAGTGGCTCTAGGAACATATAACTCTATCTACATTGTAACAGTGGCTCTAGGAACATATAACTCTATCTACATTGTAACAGTGGCTCTAGGAACATATAACTCTATCTACATTGTAACAGTGGCTCTAGGAACATATAACTCTATCTACATTGTAACAGTGGCTCTAGGAACATATAACTCTATCTACATTGTAACAGTGGCTCTAGGAACATATAACTCTATCTACATTGTAACAGTGGCTCTAGGAACATATAACTCTATCTACATTGTAACAGTGGCTCTAGGAACATATAACTCTATCTACATTGTAACAGTGGCTCTAGGAACATATAACTCTATCTACATTGTAACAGTGGCTCTAGGAACATATAACTCTATCTACATTGTAACAGTGGCTCTAGGAACATATAACTCTATCTACATTGTAACAGTGGCTCTAGGAACATATAACTCTATCTACATTGTAACAGTGGCTCTAGGAACATATAACTCTACATTGTAACAGTGGCTCTAGGAACATATTACTTTATCTACATTGTAACAGTGGCTCTAGGAACATATAACTCTATCTACATTGTAACAGTGGCTCTAGGAACATATAACTCTATCTACATTGTAACTATGCATGATTACAGGAAATCAACACTACAATGGTTGTATATGTTCTACTGTACAGGTTTTTATAGGCCAACCATGATATATCAGGTACAATCTGTCAGATACGTACTGAAGTTGAACAGCATCAGGGTTTTGGAATTTCCTAGTACTGAGTAATTGTGTTCTGCAAAGAAGTCACACAAGTTTGATAGAATGTCATCAGCTTCCTTCTCATAGATATCCACATACACTAGCCTGTCAGTGGACTTGAAGTAGTCCACAAATCCTTTGATGGCATTTGCAAAGTTAGTCGCTCTGTTCTGAAAATCAGAGAAAAGATACCAAATGAATTCAAATGATTTAATATTGTTCTTCTTATCCCAGTGATAAGCCACATTCTATATAGAAACTACGTTAGGATGAATTTATCTTTTATAATGTTGTTATTCAAATTTTAAAAAAAACCCACAAGAGACCCATGGGCCTGAACGGTCACCTGAGTCCTACAGTATTTATTTTTGTTGTTGAAATATGTACCAAATTGAGTAAAAAATTGTAAAGTATAACGTTAACTTAAGTTTGTCAGGACCATGAGCTGATCATTCCTAGACCGATTTTCAGTAAGATCGGCCTATTAGAACTTGTTTTTAAGTTAGAAATAGACATTTTCAAAATAGCGGCCATGGCAGCCAAATTGTATTTCTGATCGACCCGAAAAATAACAAAATTTTGTCAGGACCATGAGTCAATCATTCCTACAAATNGACTTTAAGTTTGAAATAGGTTTTCAAAATGGCGGCCGTGGCGGCCATATTGGATTTCTGATCGACCCGAAAAATAACAACACTTTGTCAGGACCATGAGGCGATCATTCCTACCAACTTTCAGTTCAATCGGCCCAGCAGAACTTGACTTTAAGTTTGAAATAGTTTTTCAAAATGGCGGCCGTGGCGGCCATATTGGATTTCTGATCGACCCGAAAAAATAACAACACTTGGTCAGGGAGATGTCAGTAACCTTCCCATGAAATATTAATGAAATCCCTTTGCCAGAATTTCAGCTTAAGTTGAAAATGTAAAATGTTAACGGACGACGGACGACGACGGACGAAGACGGATAGCAATAGGTCACTTGAGCTAAAGCTCAGGTGACCTAAAAAAAGACATCTCAGCAATGCAAACTCTCAGACAGTTGCCGCCTGCATTAGTCCAATAGGGTGTAGTATGAATTGTGAAGTTGGTAACCGTGGTTCAAATTAAAAGGTGGTAAGATTCTGATTAAGATTTTGGAATTCCTTGTGCATTATTATTGAGTTTGCTCTCTGAACAAAATTGTCAATGAGGACACATGACCCTGGCCAGCGCTTAGAGATGACCTTTGATTTCAACACAACATTTTAGAAATATTAGGAAATGATTTGTACAGTTTGTCTACCTACCTATATAACATGTATACCTACTTTTGTTCTAACAAAGCTGACTTCGTCACTCTGACCCCCTGCAGGCTGTGGTTTGCATGGGTCAGCCTCTTTGCCCGCTGCAAGCTTTGCAGCCACGTCAGGTTTCTGGGCACATTGTGTCTGGTATTTCTTGACGATTTTGTCCACAGGCATGGCCAAATGTATCGCACAGGAGAACGGGTACTGTACAGTCAGAAAATGTGTGTGAGTGATACAAAGGTAATGGAACACAGTCATAACAAAATGTAACACATACAGAATGGGTAATCAGCAGTACAGACAGAAAATGTGTGTGAGTGATACAAAGGTAATGGAAC